GAATAAAGCTGTGTAATTGTCCTTTAGGTAGTGCCATCCCACCATTGAGAGGTAGGTAGCACCACCGTTGGAGGTGTTCGGGTCAATTCGAGTTTGTAGGGACATGGTGATCACCAGAGCAATGGGAAGACACCTTAGAAGCTACCCTCATGCCAGGTTCCCGGATCATGAGGACTTACTAAGACATCCTCTACTCGACGACCACCTTTCGAGGGGCAAGGCAACAGTGAAGCGTACCCTAGGGGTGGTGTGTGAATTGTGTGTCATTTTCAGTTTATTGTTTGTCTTGTCATGCATTGGTGATCTACGTTTCGATTTTATTTTTGGGCATTCATTCTTTCATGTTATTGTTTAGCAGTTAAAAGTGCGGGAATTTAAAGTGCGGAAAAGATAAAGGGTCCTACGCTATTACAAAGGCGCGGGTCTACAACGCCAAATTAATCCAGACCCGATTTAAAATAAAGTGAAGAAAATAAATATCTAATAGCTATTACATGGCTTTGGAGCAATTACATTATATTTACAACAGAAATAAATAAAACGCGCGAAAAAAGGAAAATATGATCGAATGCGAGGGCGTTGGACCCTTTAAGGAATTAAAATAAAATTAATAGAATAATTAAATTAAATAAAAAGAAAGAACTTGTTTTTTATGTTTTTTTTGTATTTATGACATTAAATTAATTAAAAGTCAAATGATTAATTCTAATTCTAATTGTTTTTAATTTATTAAAGAAAATGCATTAAAGTTAAAACCTAGAATTAAAACTAAATTAATTATAAATTTTATTTACAAAGTTAATGGTTAATGATACTTATAATAAAAATATTTAATTAATTAAAGAAAGGTAAAAAGTGTTAAAGATCTATTTTTTATTATTTTTTGGTTTATTGTGAAATAGAATTAAATTATAACCTAAAATTAAATCTAAATTAATTAAGGGATTTATTTACAAAATTAATACTAAAATAAAATTATTATTTATTTTTTGTCTTTTCTGATTTTTTTGTGTTTTTGATTTTATGTTGATTAAAAAAAAGAAATAAAAATAGTCAAAATAAGTATAAGAAAAACGACGGAAACAGGCAGCAAATAAAAAAAGCATAATTCTGGAGGCCTGGGAAGCTTCGATCCAGAGAAGGTGTCTCCTTCGATCTGGGATGCTATACCTGCAAAAGTATGTTAGCAAAATAAACTCAGGGCCTGGTATCGAACCCCAGGGCCTTCGATCCTACGTGCGCTGAGTCTTTTCAGGATAAATCTGCAGCAAATGTTAGCAAACGAAGAACATGACCTGGGGCCAAACCCAGGCCCTTTGATCCTGTCTAGGATAGTAAATTGAAGGTAACAACAAGCACGAATGTGTAATGCAAATACAAGGTTGGACAGTTTACCCTCTCTTACCAGTAGATTGGACCTTCGATTTGGGCGCTTCCTGAATGTAGGCACCTTCGATCTGGGCTTCTGGGCTTGGCTACTTTTGCTGAAGGGTGGCTTTGCTTGGAAAATTCTGGCAACCTTTGATGGATTTTGTGGGCAGCCTCTCTCCAATGTTTCTTTCGTTCTCCTGTTGTGTGTTTTTTCCGTCCATTGTAATGTGCCACTGGCCCTTGTATTTATAGGAGTGTGAGGGTCTTGTAACGGTAAGAGACAGCCATTTAACCAGGCCTTTAATGCCATGAGACAAGAATCAGACACATTAAAAGTTTTCCTTTTTTGAAATATGCATGTCTCTTGAATGAACCTGGACACTTTCACTTGTACATGTCTTATGCAATGTGTATGAATGAAAATTATGGCCAATAATGCCTTGCATTGATGTTTAGGATTTGGCATAAACCACCATTATCACACTTTCTACTTTTGATTCAAATTTGAATTTTTGCCTTGTTTAAGCCTTAGCACGAAAAATGGTAGGCACATAATGATGCTTCAAGGTTAATCAAAGCAAAATATCCCTTTAAATTAATTTTTTTGAATTTCTTTTGATTTTAAAAGATTTAAAATTAATTAAATCCAATAAAATCAATAAAAATGAAAAAATTAATAAAAAAATCTGAAATAAAAGATGGGACACGTGGGAAGCATGGCCAAGTCAATTCAAGTGGAAAAAGTGGGCCCCTTTTGTCAAAAATGGGATTTCAAGGATAAATGATTTTGGCCATTTCACAAACATTTCCCAACTTCTCCAATGCATAACTTGCTCAATTTTTAAGCTTTGCTCATGTTCTTGGACATTTTAGAAAGGTCTTTGAGTCCTCTAACCAATGCCTTTGGTCCCATGTCATTTTGATTTACCAATCTCAAGTTATGGCCTTTGACTTAAAGTCCCTTTTTGTTGACTTTTGAAAATGACCTATAATGTTGAAATTGATAACTTTTTGTGAGAGCATTTCTTGGACTTGAAGTATGAAGATGAGTTGTAGGAAATGTCTTTCTCTTCAAAATGAGCTTTGGATGGAATTTTTCTGATAATCCATGTGAAAGTTATGCCCTGGTCAATTTCAGTTGACTTTTTCAACTGTCCAAATAAGGAAACTTTTGCATCTTGATGATTTCTGGGCCAAATTTTGAGAATCATGATCAAGCATTGATCAAATGATGTTTGTGGCTTCAAAATGATATGTTGACCAAAAATTTGAACTTTTGACTGTCAAATGACCATTTTGCCCCTACATTTGACTGTAGTGCAATTTAGGGTTTTGACTGTGCAATTTTGAGCTGAATGCCTTGAAACTTGATATGAAGATGCTTGACCACATTTGTAGGCATGTGAGGCTTGATTGGGCCTTTGAAAACTTCCTTTTCTTGATCAGAACACAAACCCTAATCTTGACTGTACAGGAGACCTTTGACTGTGCAACCCTTGGGGAATTTTGCAGCTTGATTTGGCAATTTCTTGAAGAATATGGGAGGGCAAATTTTGGGGTACAACAGTTATACAATGGGAAGGTATTAGCACCCACTGCATCTGCAGTACTCCGCAGGAACCTTTTGAAATATCTGTTTTTGGTTAAAATTGTTTGTTTGATTAAAATGGTTCGTTTGGCTAAAAATAGGTGTTGGCGAGATTTTTGAAAATGTGATAACCTAATGTCGAAGTTTTGGCTTAAAAAGGGGTGTGAATTTAAAAATTGATTTGTAGGAGATTCATCTTAAGATTAATAAAACTAAAAAAGTATGAAGGGATTTCACATAATCGTATTAGATATTCGATGACATGAAGTCAACAAATTAATTCTTTCCCTTGGATTTAAAACCACAGACAGATAAGTAAGCTAAGAGTATACCAAACCTTAGGTGAAAATAAATCACAAGCCGACAGCATAAAAAAAAACCTGATGTGAGATAATACTCCGAGCGTCAGATAAAACGCATCAAGTGAAAATAAATCACATACGAGAAAAGCGTGTCAGGAGAGGAATCAGATAAAGCGCAAAGGCGATGGATAAAGCTCACGGTGTCAGATAAGAATCCCTGCATCACAAGAGATATACCGACAAAATCTAACATCACGGGGAAACTTATGTGCGTCTGCACAATTTTCAGAAGTTAGTTGGAATTAAAAACAAAATCACAATGTAATGAAAATAATATTTTCAAAACCGGAATTTATTTACAAGTAAAATATACAGTCAAAATATTATATACAAGTATATATTTACAGTATCAAATATTAAATCAAAATAGTGAAATACAATAAAAAGGTAAAGGGAGAAGTGTAGGAATTATGGATGTGTTATATGAGAATGAATACTTGAAACGATTTTTTGGAAACCTTCACAGTAACAAACGCGTTAGTAGCATAAGCGGTATAAAAATTAAAATGAATGAAATTGCAACGATTAAAACATGTGTTAGTAAGTGTAAAATAAAAAATGAAATTGTATGATGCATATGAATAAACGAATATTTACATAAATCAAAATCAAGAATTCATGATATTGCTCAATGTAAACACAAAAAATCAGCATTACACACATTATTTGAAATGTATCAAAAGCAACTGCTATTTCAAACACAACGGAAAACAAAAATCCAAAGTTCACTTTGCAACATGAGAAATTGAATTCAAAGCATGAACCAAAAAAATGATGATTATCCAACAATTTAAATTCACAAACAAAGCCAAAGAAACTCATGCCATAATTCAATTCAATCCATGAAAAATCAAACATTATCAAACATCATCAAAAGTTAGACAACAACGAATTATGCATAAAAGCTCATGAATTTCAATTTCCAAGTGATTCTAAACATATGTACAAACACCAATATTAAACCAACAATCCTTGTAAATTGATTTCAACTTGAAACGTAATCAAAACCATTCTTTAAAATCACTTAAAACAGCATGATAACATCAACACCGACAATTCAAAATTATGCCAAAATTACATTAAGCTCAAAAAGTAATGAAAATAAGTTTTGAATCAATGTTTCGGCGAGGTATAAATTCGGACAGCAACCAACACAAATTGTTAACACTCGATAAAAACACCTCAAAAGGATTCAAAACTCATAAGAAAATCAGGTGATGCACCAACCAGTTTAACCTTATCATTAGACTTGACATAAACAAATTAATCACAATTTCAACAAAACAATAACATATTTACAGACTCAAATGATTTCCAAATACAAATTAGTACAAACTTATGAAGTTTCCAATTGAACCGTTAAGACATAAATCATGACAAACCTCAAGTGCATTAAATCAGAACTTCATGAATGAACAAAATCAGTTATGCTTAAATGACTTGGAGACTTTAACAGATTATTCACAAATCAACATAACATATTTACTAATAACAATCTATTAACAAGTTGTTCATAACAAAACTCCAAGAACAAGCCAGACAAAAAAAAACAGGCATGATGCTTTTACTAGATTCAATCCTCATTCCAAATAACCAGATCAAGCATTAACACTAACCTGTCGAGCACAGCAGTAGAGTTATAGTGGCGTTGGATATTTTATGCCAAAGCTTGGAGGCAGCTAGTTGACAACATCAAGAACCAACTTGCGGGACTTGAGAACAGACCATCGAAGACGGCGATAATATGCAGCTTGAAGCAATGCCAATGAAAGTACAAATATCCATTTAAATCCCATCAGTTTTCTCTCTTCCATCTCAGGTTCTGCAGCCCAAGACAAAAATGACTCGACATCTTTCCCCATCTGAGCTTCTGTAGCAGGGGTACCATCTTCATATTCAACAGCACCATCATTAAGCATCTTAGGCATGGCAATGGCTCCCTTGGAAAATAAGGATTGTAATGCAATCCCTCTCTGATCGAAACGCCAGCAGGGGGGTCACGATAACCGGTTAGGAGGGCAAACACATAGTTCTGACCATTGTGACGAGCTTTGGTAATAAGACTTAGATCTGGAGGATAGGCCCCTCCATTAGCAAACCTAGTAGCTGATTCATTTGCATATGACTGAGGAAAGCGGTCACTGAGTTTACCAGGGCGTGAAAACATCTCACCCTCATCATTAGGGCCATCTTCCACCTCAATCTCAGCAGCCATGGACTTTACCTCTTCTTCTGTGTAAGCCACACCAACCAAATCACAGTATGATATCAAAGACATGGAATGGCAGGAAGCACAAACTTGTGTATAAACTTGATGACCACGACGAATTGAAGCATGATCATATGAACTGAGGATGCCCTCGTGAGGCCATGGATAGTATGGAGATGCGAGGCCATGCTCAGCTTCATCAGCAGATGCTGTTGTTGCAAAACCCAAAAGACCTGAGACACCAGCTCCTATTAAAGCAAGGCCTCTTAAGGAACTGCTGCCAGTAGAGCCAGAAGAACTCCGAGAATGAGATTGGAGTTTCCTCCTCAACAATTGTTGAATAACACCTCCAGCCATCTCAATTCAGAGAAATGGAAGCGCGATTGGGAAGTGAGGATCGAATCGAATGGAGAAGAAGCAGCAGAGAGAGAAAGAGGTTGCTGATTGAATAAGAGTCAAGAGGGAGGTAGTGGTCGACGATGGTGATGGTGTAGGTGTTGTGGGTGTTGTGAGGGAGTTGTGAGAAAGAGAGATGGGTGTTTACTAAATGGATTCCTGTTGGGAAAAAGGAAAGGATAAAGAGGTTTTGTTGCTTTTTGTTGTTATTTTTCTCCCTCTCCCTTTTACAAAGAACCAAGGTTACTTAAATAGGACAATGAAAAGAAAGAAAAAAAATATGATTTCAAAATGATCTGCTCCGTTCAAAATAAATTCAATTTACTGATCCGTAACTTTTGTTAGTAACCAATAGGAATCAAGCGCAGTATAATCAATAATTTTTTGTGACCAAATAGCCCTTAAATGATAAAAATGAAATAAAAATTGAAAGTATTAAAATTAATTCAATTTAAAATATATTTTTTTGAATAAAAAATAAAGAGCTAAAATGACCGAACACAATAAAAAAAACGGACGAAAATTTATCCGAAAAAATAAAATGAACACATTAAAATAAACTACATGTCACAAAGATTAAATAAAAAATATTCAAAAAGTCGAAATCAAAATAAAATGATAATGAAAATATCGGGCTAAAACAGATGTTTACGGTTAAAAACGAGACTTCAAAGTGTATCGAAAAAATAAAGCGAGCATACCGTCATAATCTACGCGAAGCGCAGATTCATAAAATGATTGGTAAAAGGTGAAAACTTGAAATATTTTCTCGCCACTTTCCCGCATAGTGTCGAATCGCTTTTAACAGTCTGTCTATAAAACCGAAATATTTTATTATCGACATATAAACAACTTGGAGCAATGCAAGAAACGAGTAAAGAGATAAAAATGCATGAAGTGAAATGTCAGGTATTTTTTAACTAAAAGACGATGCAAACTTTGATTTAAACTGACTTTTTCTGGTCAACTTAAATACGACTAATGATGCAAAATGTGATGAATGAAGATATTTACTAATGATTGTGACCAAATAACAAAATATGATATGAAAGTGCGACTAAAAAATTAGGGGCGAAATTAAGGGTGCAACAGTTGTGCCTTGATGAATCAGTCTTCGAGAATCCATAATCAACCGTACTTCTGGCTTAGGAGACTCAAAACCTTAATTGGGGCGCGACACCTGATGCTCTTGATTCAGACCTGTCTCTGCACATGAAACAAAAGAAAACATGAACATACACCTTTGTATGCGATTAGAAATTAGTGATACATGGGCTAAAAATGTTCAAAACACTTGACAATCTTCGCATAGTCAAAGCTTGAAAGTGAGACGTTAAAACCGACCGTATTTCGTGACCTTGACTTATCTTAAAAAATGCAAAAATAAAAATGGGATCTTAGGTCAAAAATTGGGGTACAACAGCTGCCCCTATTTAAGTTTCTTCTATCTGGAGATATGAAGACTGGGATCTTCATTTCGACGAGATTGAAGGGACTTAAATATAGAATACACAATTTTTGGCCTTAAGATACCGCGATTATGTTTACGATATGATATGAATATGACGTTTTGAATTTTATGGGAATTACGCCATATGAGACAGACTATGCTGGAGAAACCAAACACATTATACAGTAATCCCACAGAGGAAGAGGTTGTAACTCCACTGGGGAAACAAAGTCATAGACTTCAAATGAGAGACTCTTGAATGATTTACATCAGTGTTGAGACTGGAAAAGAGATGATTTACATCAGTACTAAGACTGGAAAAAGAAATGATTTACATCAGTACGAAGACTGGAAAAAGAAATGATTTACATCAGTACGAAGACTGGAAAAAGAAATGATTGACATCAGCACTGTGGCTGGAGATAAACATCTCTGATTTCTGAATTTTACCAAGAACGGTAACACATTTCTTCTTTAACCAAGATATCGCTTGAAAAGGATAAAATAACAAACTTCCCCACGGGACTTTTCCGAAAGGGATGCCATTTGCTGAGTAAACATTATTGTTGGGGATACACAAGCTACTCAAATAAAGAGGCCGCCACTTGCTTCCTTTCAAAGGTGTCAATAACATACAAGCTGCTCATGAAGAGACCTCCACTTGTTGTCTTCAAAGAATATCAAAGCACACAAGCTGCTCATGAAGAAGCTGCCACTTGTTGTCTTCAAAGAATATCAAAGCACACAAGCTGCTCATGAAGAGTCTGCCGCTTGTTGCTAATAACCCACAAGCTGCTCATGAAGAAGCTGCCACTTGTTGTCTTCAAGGGAACAATAACACACAAGTTGCTCAAATAGATAAGCTGCCACTTGCTGTCTTCCAAAAATACTAACGTACAAGCTGCTCATGAAGAAGCTGCCACTTGCCGTTTTCAAAAAAAGTGTTGATAACATATAAGTTGTCCATGAGGAGACTGTCGCTTGCTGTTTCTTTTCAAAATTACCAATATCACACAATTTGCTCATGAAGAGACCGCCGCTTGTTGTTTTCAAAGGTGTTGATAACATACAAGTTGTCCATGAAGAGACTGCCGCTTGATGTTTTCAAAGGTGTCAATAACATACAAGTTGCTCATGAAGAGACCGCCGCTTGTTGTTTTCAAAGGCGTCAATAACATACAAGTTGCTCATGAAGAGACCGCCGCTTGCTGTTTGTCAAGAGTATCCATAACACACAAGTTGCTCATGAAGAGACCGCCGCTTGCTGTTTTTTTTAAAAGATAACAATAACACACAAGTTGCTCGTGAAGAGACCGGCACTTGCTGTTTCCCAAAAAGATACCCGTAAAATATCGTGAAGATATTGCTGGAGGTGAGAATCAATAATTTCCTCGGAGATGGACAAACTGCTCATGAAGAGACCGCCATTTGTCGTAGAGAAAACATAAATAATCAAACTGCTCAAATAAAGAGTCAGTCGCTTGTCGTCATGTCGATATTCCAGAAGAAGGTTGTGATAACACTGCTGGGGAATAAAGTTCATCTTCAATGGGGAACCATGGATAAATCCTTCTTGAGGAGACCAAGTATTTACGTTGCAAAATAAATGCACTCTCCATCTAGGTTTCACAGCCTAGAGAGATCCACAGGGTATCGTTCACAAGAGACAAAGCTCAATCCAGGAATAAACTGGAGAGAAAATAGTCAAACAAGACTCCACCCAATGAGGAAACAACTCAAATGGGGATTTATCCTATCTAGAGATGGAAAAGGAAAGCTAAAGCAAGGTTCTTCCACGAGAGTTAACTCAGTGGGGAATTAGAAAAGAGGCGCACTTTCTGCTTAAGTTGACACTCTATTTGGAAAGATCAAATATGCTAGTTGAATAGACATAACCAAGGTATACGAACTCAAAGATATCAACAAATACAAATGTGCGTGCATGATGCAAGTATGAACGAATGAATGAATGTCATATATATGTTGACAAGACAGACAGGGGAGATTGACAGAAGATGATAAGACGTCCTAGTACAACCCGACGCTCAGCTAATCTCAACAAAAGGGGAACATTACTGGAGATAAAAACAAAAGCCATCATTGGAGCAAAGTCCTTTTACAAGGCTTAAATCTCTTTGGAGAGGAAGATATTTTTCGGTAGAAAGCCCAAAGTTCAGTCTTCTATCACTAACAATCCCTTGAAAGGAAGACAACACGAACATTGTTTCGGCTGGAAAAAGTCATGCTTAGTTGGAGATACTGGGAACACCACCCTCTGATAATGTATGAAAAACATATCTTGACAAATCTGGATTTCCCCTGGGATTAATTTTGGATGCCCCAAGTTTACTGCTGATAAGCTGCATGTTGCACGACATTTCTTGCGAATAACTTCACCTAAAATGCCCCAAGCTATATGGCTGATGAGGAGAAATCGTCTCAAGAGGATTTTACAAAAGACCTGGCATCCACCATGCTCTGGTGTCTTCAAACTCTTAGAGAGATTCATCGAATCTCGACGTGATTGCCCCGAATTGACTGTAGTTGGCACAACAAAGTCTTCAAATTTTGCCCCAAACGAGAAAACAAATTGGGAAAAGCATTAACTGGGCGAAGCAACATGTTCGTGCTTACGGTCTTCAGGTGACATGCCCATGGATATGATTTTTTCTTGATGTGATCCGCCAATTACTCAACATAGTTTCAGGCCTTAAAATAATAAACTCATCACTGGTGCTTATGTGAGCTTCCTTGATATCAAACAAATGTTTTGCAGTTAGAAAAAGTTTACAATGAGAATGAAAATTCTAATGCAACAGTTATGTAAGTCTTGAAGATTTTGAAAGATATCGCACAAATTTTGCGAGTTAGAGCGCCATTTATTTTTGTGTAGGAAAAGCATATGATACCAACATAACTATTTAACAAACATTCATGGGAGTCAGGAGAACTATCTCATGGAAGTATGCTTTCAAAGTAACCTTGCTTCAATTAGGACTTTTGAAGGTTGGAACGTGGTCTGGTTCATGGTTTTAGAAAAAAAGATTTAAGGCTCAAAATATTTGGTGCCCACCCCCTTCATGATGTTCTCCAATCCTATGTTCAGTTAATTCAACATGAGCGTTCATCTCTCAAAAGGATTTTGTGACGGTTAAGGAAACGACGAGGTTTTTGGAGTAGAAACCACCCTCATGTCTTCGTGTTTGTAGTCACCAATTTGTTCTTTGCTGAGGACTTTTCTTTGTAGTCCTTTCTTTGCAATTTTTATTTTCCATAATTTTTGCATGAACTAATTTTTTGAATTGATGGTCCAGCGGGATGCCTTAATTTTGCCTAAGTCACACGTTTTCATGTTTTTTTTTTTGACTTAGCAGGCTTTTCTTTTTCTTGATTTTTGACTTTTTGAACAAAATGTGTGACATTAGCTTGTCTTTGCTTGTTGAGAGGATTGTGATTGCCTCATTTCTTGATGAATGAGGGATAACATTGTGGTTCCACATCCTCTAGATTC